ATGACGATGACGATGACGATGACGATGACGATGACGATGACGATGACGATGACGATGACGATGACGATGACGATGCGATGACGATGACGATGACGATGACGATGACGATGACGATGACGATGACGATGACGATGACGATGACGATGACGATGACGATGACGTGACGATGACGACGATGATGACGATGACGACGATGACGACGATGACGACGATGACGATGATGACGACGATGACGACGATGATGATGATGATGATGATAATAATAATAATAATTTGTACCTCTCGGTGCAACAAGGAAAAAATTCGGGATTCAGTCCGTCTGAAGGGTTGGAACACGAGGAGCGCTGGTATGCAAAGAACTTGCAGTAACACTCACTATTCTTGTAAAGTTCCTTTATTTTCCCCGTTACAACAAATTATTTCTCTTAAAATAATTAAATTTCCGTAGATAATATATTACGTTTCCGTACTCGCGTTAAATTATAATTTCAATCCGGATCGAGACGATATGTCAGAAATTTAGAGACGAACTGCCGCGGTCGGTGACTAGTCAGCCGTTTTTATAATATCCGCAGTTTCGTATAGCTTCGCGCTAAAATCTTCATTCGGACATATATGATAAAATGCAACGAGCGACCTTTGTTTGCATTCTGTTCAAGAATTTGCAAACTTGTATTTCCGGTGTAGTGCGGACTCATTGCTATGCCGAAAAAAATATGCAAGACTTATCGTGGTAGCTATTCGGACTATAACAATTTCTTGTTTTTGTTCGGTCAAGTGAATGGATGGTAATGTGAATGTGTTGAAACGTACCACAATTTATAAAAATTTTTGATAGTTGGTTACTTAATATCTTTTTAGCGTGAGAATGTGTGAACTGGTATCTATGTATTTAAGAGATTTAACATTTGTGAGTGATAGAAATATATTACAACAAACTCCGACAGCTAAACATAAAAAAAACAGATTATGCAGATTTTGTTTTAAATTTATGAGTTTTAAAATTTAGACTTTTAACCAGACTTTGTTTTAAATTTATGCTAGAAAGGCAACAGATTGCAAATAAATTTTATATCTGACAATACTAACAAACCTAACAGAATCTGTTGACATTCTATGTCAAATTGATAACAGAAATCAAGCAGACTCTGCTACAGTCTGCCGTCAGATTAGCGATAGAAAGCAAGTAGAACTTGCAATGACAATCTGACAACAAACTGATAGTAGGATGTGCTTGATTTATGTTGGTAGAATGTCAACAGGTTCTGTCAACAGAATGTAAGCAGAATGGGATCTTAGATGAGGTCAGTTTGCTAACATTTTGCTGATCAAATCTTCTAGTCAAATCTGATGCCAGACATTCTGTTAACATTTTGCGCGCGCGCGCGCGCACACACACACACACACACACACACACACCACAGCACAGCACAATAAAATTAAAAAAGATAATTATTAGATACTGGAGATTCAATCTCAATCATATATTTGTCATTATTAAACACTTCCATATTACCAATATTGTGATATGTTAAAACAGACTTTAAAATTAGAAATGTAATCAAATTCTGCGCAAATCTTTACAGATATTTTTGCTCATTATCGACCACGTACTACTAATAACAAATTATATTTATTGCAGAATATGACTGAAAAAAATGAGGAGTTCTCATTCCAGTCAGCAGGCTCCAAACCAGGACTTTTTCGCAATGATTCTATTGAAAATATTATAAATATTGGAAGTAGGAAATCTAGCTGCAATGCTCAACGTATATTTATTTCTATAATGGATACGATTAACCATGCGTTAATCATATTGGTAACGGTATACATTATATATCACGCAGCGAAGGAATATTCCATAACAAGCATACATGTAATCCTCTGCACTATCGGTGTAAGTATTTTATTCTTATGAAATATACATTTAATTCTCTTTTCTTTTTCCTCATGCACTATACACAATACAGTGCAGGATTCAAAATAATTAAAACAAGTGAAAGAAAAATAATTTTCATCTTACATCTTGTACATGTTTCTCATGCTTAAAATTTTATATAGAATTCTCAACAAAATTAAAGGTTCTTTTAAAATTAATTCACTAAAAATAATCAAATTCAAAATTTCAAATTTAAAATTATGTATCTTTACAAAAAGTGATTGCAGAATGATTTCAAGAAGCATTTTAAAACTTATGCCTCAGCTTTTGGATGCTTCGAAGCATGTTTCTTTGCAAATTTTACCACAAATGGTGCTAATTTAAAATAAACCTTGCAAAATTGAAGAATAAATTGTAATTTTGATAGTGTGCAAGGAAAACAAGTATTTTTTCAAATTTTTTTAATCGTATTTTTTTAATCGTAAAATTTAACATTTTTGTTTAAATGCTTCTTTTTTTTCTTCGTCTAGGAGTCTTGTTTTATTTACTCCTCTATACATATGTCCCTTGCGATCTGGATGTCCAATTCTCATGCCTCATCTTTTTGGAGGTCTTCCACGGGAACGAGAGGCCCATTTTGGGCCAGAACTATCTTCCTGATTCTAGTCTTCCCACATAGTCTCTCCAACATCGCCGCTTTACTTTGATCCACCTCACTATGTCCTGGATATTGCAGTCCTGTCTTATTTGTTCGTTTCTTATTTTATCCCTCCAGTCGATTCTTTTGATTGACCTCAGCGTCCTCATTTCTATTGTTCTTAGGATTCTTTTTGTCCGAGATATTTCAATCCTCATTTCTGTCGCATATGTTAGTATTGATCTAACGCAGATTTTGTAGATTCTCATTTTATCTTCTGTAGACATACTCCGGTTTCTGCATATGATATTCCTCAGGCATCTTGATATCCTATTCGCCTGTGTGCTAATCTCTCCTCCAAGTTTCTATCACTAGTTATTACCGAGATTATCGAGTTGTATTTCATAACCTGTTGGATGATTTGATTATTTATTATTAATTTGTAGTCTGATTGAATCTTTAGCTATAACTATGAATTGTGTTTTTTTAGTGGATATGAGCATGTTAAGTGATGAGGCCTTTTATATAGTGTCCAAAATCATCTCTGTCTTCACCACAAACTATACAAACCCATTTGTTCTCCTCCATTCAATATTTATTTGTCTCTTCTAGATTACCACACCTTAATTTCATTAAAGTCTTTATTTCCTCCCCCATATCCATCTTCTTCAGATTTTCCATCCTTAAAGTGCTGAATTCCCTCTCCTTAAGACCTACATCCTTATACCTTTTATTATATCTAGCTCTTTTAATCTTACTATCTTCCCATTATTTCTGTGTATCTCTTTCCCTACTTATAAGTTCCTCTTATAAGTTCCTCTGTGTACCTCTTTCTCTACTTATAAGTTCCTCTTCACAGTTCCTTTCTTTTCTATTAAAGTCCTCTACTGCATTTATTCCTATCCCGTTCCTATTATAATATTTTTTCATATCTATCTTTTTATTCATGTTTTCTTTTTTTCCCAGCTTATGTTCACATAGCTCTTTGTCTCTTTTTCTTTAATCTTTTTTTCATATTTCCTAGCTTTCAAATCCCAACTTTCATTTTATCCATTACCAGTTCCTTATATATAACATACTTAAGTGTTCCTTATATATAACATACAAAAACTTAAATCGAATATCCAGCTTATAATCTAACATAATCCTTTCTAGTTTCGGCTTCTCTTCCCACCCCCAGATTTCCGTATGATATTACTTTGTCCCAGATATTTCTCTACACAGATTTTCTCTACACTTTGTCCCAGATATTTGTATAGCATCCATTTTCTCTTAAAATCATTTCTACATAATCTCTCTTCTATATCCCATACCTTTCTTGCTGCCTTTCTACCTTTCCTGCAAAATTCCTTGATCTGCTCTTCATAATTATTTTTCCTGTTTATTATGAAACCTAAATATTTGAAATTCTGTAACTCTTCAATCTCCTGTTCACCCCATTTCCATACCTCCTTTTTTTCTTTCTTTTTTGTTGAATACAAGTACCTTTGTTTTTTCCGTACATAATACTAATTTACGTTCTTAAAAATCTTCTCATAGTATCCATTATTCATATAGCCTCTCTGTTACTCGCAAATTACAATATCTTCCGCATATGCTAAATTTCATAATCTATTTTTATCTAAGTCTACTCCTCCTATCCCTCTATCCTTAAATGTCTTATCTATATCCGCTATATATAAATTAAACAAGAGTGGATGGTCATCACACATCCCTTACTTCTTTTCTTGTAAAAAATCCCTCTGTTAGTCATTGCTTTGTCCTAATCGTCACTTCCGTTTCTTCATATATCTTCTTCACCCTCTTCACCATTTAATCCCTAATTCCATTCCTCTTCATTCTATAGTATATCTCTATTGACGTTATCAAAAAGTCCGCTTTCAGATCCGCACAACAAACAAGGTATAAACTTTTCCATCCTTTTCTCCTTCTTTCCTTCCTTCCTTTTGTATTACATGATGTAGTACAAATATGTTATCCACAGCCGATTTTCCCTTTCTAAATCCTGCTTGACTCTCTGGAATTATTTCCTTTTCTTCTATTTCTCCGTATGGAATATGATTTGAGAAATTAAATAAGACAATTTGTTACAAAACAATCGTTCCAAAACATTAAAAAATTTTAAACATCAGAACTTTTTCGAAAATCCTTCTTTCCTTCTTGTTTCCTTCCTATCTCCTTTTTCTTATTGTTGTTTTTTCTTAAGCGTTAATTAATTAAATTCATTAACGAAGATTTAAGAATATATATTTGCAGTATGAAAATGTGAGGACATCTTACTATTTTTATTTAAAAAATGAAAAATTTATAAAATTATCCTACATCGTATTTAAAAATAATACAAAAAGTTTTGCGGTAGTTTAAAATTTGAATTAGAAATTTTTTAAATATAAAATAAAAATGTGTTTCAATCAAAATGTAATTAAGAAATAATAATAAAAATTACTCTTTTTATATAAGTACTTTGAGAATTTAAAAGATCTATGTAAAATTTCATCGCGATGCGAAGATTAGTTGTTCTGTATAAAATTTAAATTTTTATTAAGAGTACAAACGAAAAGAATGATGATATAGATTAAATAAAGTTTTTCTTTATAGAACAATTAATTTCTATATCGCAATAAAAGTTTACATAAAAAAATCTTGAATAGTTATTGTGCGGGTGGCTAGTTCCACCTTATAATATGAATATGAAAGATCCGTGCACAAAGGCGGGAAGGTCATGTATCGAACAATTCCAGAATAGATTGAAATAAAATATGGTTTATTCATCACGCATACAATTAAAGATCGAGGAGAGCGATATGGTTGTCCTTAGTTTCAGCTGTTGAAATGCAGAAATACAGGTTCAAGCACGATACAATAGAAATCTTCTCGCATTAATCAACGGAAATCTTCGAGAATATGGCAACGAAAATCAGAAATCTTCTTACGAAATCGCTTCAAGTATGGTTCTTGGTCGGCCTTTGTGTATACTTCACACGAGGTTACTCCACTTCTTATGGCAAATGCGGCAGCGATCACTAATTTTATTCGGAATACGAGACGACAGTAAACGCGATGCTGGAACGGAAAACACTATCGAATTATGTCTAGCGATCCATATCGATCGGGAGCGAGAAGTAATTCGAGTCGATAAACAATGTTCATTGGTCCTAATTTCGTGGATCGCAGAGGTGAGCCGCATCGCGGATTCCACAAAGCATGTGTTTACCATGTGTACCCCATGCCAGGTACGCGTGATGTACATTTAGCTCGGACATATAACGGGCGATCCACGAGACAAATAAAAAAGAATTAATTTCGCACGAATTATCTTATTCCGAAACATATATAAAAAAAATGGAGATTTTCGTTATTATTTCTTAATTACATTTCGATTAAAGCACACTTCTATTTATTTATTTAGATACTTTTGATTCAGATTGTAAACCGTTGCTGTATTTTTAAATGCGATTAGATAAATTTTTATATTTTTCATAATGTTTTCATAATTGTGAATATAAGAAAATATTATATGTAAAATATAATTATGATATATAATTTTCATTTTCGTTTTATTATTTCTCATATTATCAATTTTGCAATTCATTCATATTATTAATACCTACCATTATTTTTTTCTTTAATGGATATGCTATACGTATGCAACAATAGCGAGCAGTAACCGAGAAACATTGGAGATGCTCGAAATTGTAAAGCGCGGTGAGGGCGAAAGAGAACGGTAATTTCTCTATTCTCCTCGTGCAACACTTCGAGCGCGAGAGAGTACGATATCTCTATTTTCCTCGCGCAACGCTTCGAGCATGAGACAGTAGGATAGTATTCTTATTCTTTTCTATCGTCCGAAGATAGTCGAAACGCCGAGCGCACATGGATGTGACTCGTGTTCTCTGTGCGTGCTTCGCGCTGCACCCCTACTGCTCACCACTGATGCTGTCGTGATGCAGATTACCATTTCTGGCATCACTGGGACGAAGAGGAGGGAAGAAGTTAGATTGGAGATAACCGGTTGAGGACAGGCAGATAATTGTCAGGCAAAAGATCCGTGTCGCGCTATTTATTAAGACCATTGGTTTTTAATATCATTTCAAATACCATTCGTTTGCACAGAGAAGGTTCACTATCAAGGATTTTTACGCCATCAAATTCATGCTTTTCATCAAGGCGAGAAGTTATTACAGATGGAGAACCACTAATCTTCTTAATGTCCCTGATATGTTCCCCTAATCTGGTGTCTAATTGTCTTTTTGTTTGGCCAACATAACTAGCATCGCAATGACGACAGTTGATTTTATAAACTACATCACAACGCGACGACGGATCCAATTGATCTTTGCCTGTTTTTATGAAATGTGCAAGAGAATTATGAGTGGAGAAC